TAAGTTGCTTAGGGCCTTGCTAAGTTGCTGGCTTTGTACTTGTGATCCTCCTGCCTCAGCCTCCCAAGTTGCTGGGATTACAGGCATGCGCCACCATGCCTGGCAAGAAGTGAGCTGTTTTTGATACAACAAATGATTAAAGGAGAGTTTGAAAATATGTTTTCTCTAATACATTAGGTTTAAGTAAAAAGTTGTAGATATTAGCAAATTTCTGTCAGAGATATTGGATTCAAAAGAGGCTGGAACTTCTTGTAAGTATTTGGAAAGAAAATCATTTTATTGAGGTATGAGAAGCACAAAACTGTACATAGTAAATGTATACCATGAGTTTGGAGATAATTATGCACCCATGAAACCACCATGAGTCAATAAACTTGCCCATCAAATAAGATTTCCATATCTCCCTTTGTCCCTCTTGGTCCTTCTGCGTCCCCCTATCCTCCATTTTCCCTTCTCCTCCTCCATTTCTCTGTCCCTCCCTGTCTTCCTCCTTACTTCTTTTTTTTGTTATAAGAATACTTAATGTAAGGTCTATATTATTAGTAAAATTTTAAGTATGTAAGACTATTTTGTTAACTTTAGGCACCGTGCTGTATATACAGTAGCTCCCTAGCATTTATTCAGCTTTCATAACTCAAACTTTTCGCTCACTGACAAACACCTTCCCATTTCCCCTCCCCCAGCCCCTGGTCACTCTAATCTCTGCTTCTACATGTTTGACTATTCTGTTCTTTATATAAGTGGGGTCATGTAGAATCTGTCCTTCTGTGTCTGGCTTTTTAACTTAACATAATGTCCTCCAGGTTCATATATGTGATTTTTTTCAATGGCAAGATTCTCTTTCTTTTTAATAATATTCCAGTGTTATGTATATACCACATTTTCTTTATTCATTCATCCATGATGGAGAGTCACGTGGCTACTCTATCTTAACCATGGCAAATTACACTGTGGTGAACATGAACTTTCAGGTATTTCTTTGAGATCTTGATCTCAGTTTCTTTGGATATATACCCAGAAGTGAAATTGCTGGCTCATATGGTGTTCTATTTCTTAGTTTTTTAAGAAAAATTATACTGTTTTACGCAGTGTTTATTCAATTTACATTCTCAACCACAGTGTACCAATGTTCCTTTTCCCTTCTACATTCTCATCAACACTTGTTATCTTTCCGTTTTCTCCTCTTCCTCCTCCTCCTCCTCTTCCTCTTTCTTTGTATAACAGCCATGCTAAGCGATGTGAGGTAACATCTCACTGTGGTTCTGATTTTCATTTCCCTGATGCTTATCTTTATTGGGTACATTCTTATACACCTGTTGGCCATTTGTATGTCTTCTTTTGAGAAACATCTCCTCAGGATTTTTGCCCATTTGAAAAATGAAGTTATTAATTTGTTTTTTGCTCTTAAGCAGCCCATATGTTTTGAATGCTAACCTCTCATCAGATATACAATTTGCAAGTATTTTTTCCCATTCCATAAGTTGACTTTTTGTTTTGTTGATTGTTCCCCTTACAATAAGGGGCTTTTTAGTTTGATAGAATCTCATTCATCTATTTTTGCTTTTGTTGCGTGTGCTTTTTGGTACCATTTGTAAGAAACCATCGCTAAGGTCAATGTCAAGAAGCTTTTTTCTCTATATTTTTTTCTAATAGTTTTATGATTTCAGGCCTCAAGTTTTAATCTTTATTCTGTTTTAAGGTCATTCCTGTGTTTAGTATAAGAGTTATTTTGTTCTTTTACACATGTATATACAGTTTTGTCAAAACCATTTATCAAAGACAATATAATTTTCCCTTTTTATTCTAACACTTTTGTGTGTGTGTGGTGTATTCAGGGTTTTCTACATATATATTATCTCCAAATTTAATTTTACTTCTTCCTTTCTTATTTGTATGCCTTTTATTTCTTTTTCTCTCCTAATTGCTCTGACTAAAACTTCTAGTACTGTATTGAGTAAAAAATAGTAAGGAAGGGCACCCTTGTTTTGTTATAGGTCTTAGAGAAAAAGATTGCATTTTTTCCTCCATTAAGTTTGATGTTAGCTATGGAGCCTTATTGGGTTAAATTATTTCTATATTTTGTTGAGAGTCTTGTTTTACATCATAAAAGGGTTTTGGTTTTTTTTCATATGCCTTTTATGTACCTATTAAGAAGATCATGTAATTTTTACCCTTCATTCTGTTGAGATGAGATATCCTATTTATTGATTTGCCTGTATTAATACTTTCCTTCTGGGGATAAATCCCACCTGGTCATGATGGAGGATTCTTTAAATGTGCTTTCAAACTCACTTTGTTATTTTGTTGACAAAATTTGTGCTCCTGTAGGAATTGAAGTCTCCTACTATAATTCTATTTCTATTTCTTCCTTCATATAGGTGAATGTTTGCTTTATATATAATTGCTCTGATATTGAGTAGCTACATGTTTAAGATTGTAAGGTCTTCGGTTGAATTGGCATTTTTTTTCATTATATAATGAAAATCCTTTTTGAAAATTTTCGATTTAAAATTTATTTTTTCTAATATAAATATAGCCACCTTTGCTCACTTTGCTGCCCCTTTGATTTTAGCCTATTTGTGCTCTTAAATGTAAAGTGAGTTTCTTGTAGGCAGCATAAACTTAGATACTTTAAAAAAAGTCATTCAGACATTATATAGCTATTAATTGGGACATTTATTTTATTAGCACTTAATTATTGATATGCTTGGTCAGTTTTTTAATTACTATAATGATATGCCTGAAATAAGAAGCTTATAAAGAATAAAGGTTTGTTTTTGCTTAGTTTTGCAGGTTCCAGTTCATAATTGCTTGGGTTTGTTGCTTTGTGCCTGCTGTGAGTCAGCACCTTGTGGCAGGAGCATGTGGAATAAAACTGCTTACATTGTAAGCCAGGGAGCAAAAGAGAAAAAGGAAGAGACTGGAGTTCCAGATTCTCTTTGAGAGCATGCCCTCAGTGACCTAAGGGTATTCCAATTGGCTCCACCTTCCAAGGGTTTCATCACCTCCTAATAGTACCACCTGAGGAAATCTTGGGGACATTAAACATTCAAATCTTAACAGTATGTAAGGATTTACTATGGTCATTTTGTTATGCCTTGCCTTTTCTTTCTTTCTTTCTCTTTCTTTCTTTCTTTCTTTCTTTCTTTCTTTCTTTCTTTCTTTCTTTCTTTCTTTCTTTCTTTCTTTCTTTCTTTCTTTGGTTCCTCTCTTCCTTTCTTGCAGTCTTCCTTTGTGATTTGATCACTTTCATCATGTACCTATTGTTACCATTTCAAACATGCAAAAAATGAATGACAGAAATACACCCATACATATCAGTAAATCTCTAGGATATATATAAAGAGCTCAAAAAACTTAACACCCCCCCAAAAAATAACCCAATCAATAAATGGACTAAGGAACTGAACAAACACTTCACAGAAGAAGAAATATAATTAATCAAGAAATATATGGAAAAAATGTTCAACATCTCTAGCAATTAGAGAAATGCAAATCAAAACTACTCTAAGATTTCATCTCACTCCTGTCAGAATGACAATTGTCAAGAATACAGGCAACAATTAATGTTGGCGAGTATGTGCTGAAAAAGGTACACTTATACATTGCTGGTGGGACTGCAAATTGGTGCAATCACTATGGAAAGCAGTAAAAAGATTCCTCAGAAAATTGGGAATGGAACCACCATTTGACCCAGCTATCCTGTTCTTTGTTTTATACCCAAAGGATTTAAAATCAGCATACTATAGTGTTGCATCCACATTAATGTTTATAGCAGCTCAATTCACAATAGCTTAACTATGGAACCAACCTAGATGTCCCTCAATAGATGAATGGATAAAGAAAATGTGGTATATATACTCAATGGAATATTACTCAGCTTTTAAAAAAAGAGAGTAAAATTGTGGCATTTGGCAATAAATGGTTGGAGTTGGAGAATATCATAGTAAGTGAAAGAAGCCAATCCCACAAAACCAAAGACTGAATGTTTTCTCTAATGTGCGAATGCTAATTCACAATAAGGCGGTGGGGGGGGGGCACTAGGGAAGAATAGCATTACCTTAGATTAGGTAGAGGGAAGTGATGAGAGAGGAGGGGAGGGGATGTGAGGATAGGAAAGATAGTAGAATGAAACAGACATGATTACTGTATGTATATATGTTATTACCTGACCAATATGATTCTGCAACATGTACACTCAGAAAAACGAGAAATGATATCCCATCTATGTATAATATATCAAAGTGCATACATTCATTCTACTCTCATGTATAACTAATTAAAACAAATAAAAAAATTAAAAACAAAACAAAGCAAAAAAAAAAAGAAATATATTTAAAGCCATTACCATTATCTCTCAGAGTCATAAAAGAAAATAAAACTAAACACCATGTTTTATTACTTGGTGTATATTATCTTCACTCTGAAAGTACACACAGGCAACACTGGTGATGTAGTCACACTGGGCTGTACCATGAAGCTTGCCCAGTATTTCTGCTGGTGTAAGTGGGCAATAGCAGCCTTTTGATGTTACAGGCAACATATTATTAAGATCATTTGAAAGAAATCTAAGTTTTAGCCCTTTGAAAACCGACTCCTGGTGTCTTCAGGTAAGATCAAGAAATTATTGGCATCAAATCTTGCAGAATGAGTGTCAACAGCTTGGAAGGGATCTCTGGGAAGAATAAACTCTTTTATAAATACTGTCTCAACAATCTTCTTTGTGGCACATCTAGACTGTGTGGGGAAAACATGAATACCATCAGGTAAATGGAAAATGATTCAGAAGCTGTGAATCCTGAACATGAAGAAGGTTTGTTTGAGGAATACATTTACCATTTTTATTTTGCTTATATTTTCCTTTCTTAAGCAGGTGTATGTTTAATGTGTTTAACATAAATTAACAATTGATTTCTGTGCATTGTATTTATTAAATAGTTGTTTCAGCAAGTGGAAAATTAATTTTTGTTTTTGCACATCGTATTTGTGTGTTTATGAAGGACCCCAAGGCCCCAGGCCCAACATTAGGAAAACTAACCCCTGTGCCCTGAAGCTGCAAGATGTTCCATATAGATAACCCCGGAAGGGCCAAACTTGAGCAAACAGGGTAAAAACAGGAACTAAAAGGACAGGATGCAATTTTATGGTTTTTCTGAGAACTAAAGTGGAAAAACAAGTTTACCCCCCTAGGTGACTCAACTGCTGAATTCAGAGGGACCAATAGGAAGGCTGTTGCTGTGCTAAGCTAAGACCTAACCCACCTGTTCCCTATAAAAGATCTATACCCCAAAGCCCGGTGTGCCAGTTCACCGAAGCTCCGGCTGAGGTTTTGCTGTGCACCCGCAGGCGCCTGTGTGAGAATAAACGCCTCCTGCTTTTTGCAGCCAGTGTCTCGTGTGGTTCATTCCGGGTTTGGGATCTGTGGATATTTCATTGTGGAGGCCCCACCGAGATCCAAGATCCCGGTTCCGGTTCCGATCCCGGTCCCTATCCGGAGGACACCCGACATCACTGGGAGGTAAGCTGGCCAGCTCAAACTGACTGTCTTGTTGTCCTGTTGGTTATCTGTTCTTTGTTCCGCGCAGCGTCTGTAAGACTATATGATCCTAGGCATAGTCATTTAGTATTCTGAGTATTCTGAGGCAGTTCTGTCATTTAGTATTCTGAGGCAGCTTGAGAAGGAGTTGACGAACTCGGACTTCTCCCCTGCCACCCTGGGAGACGTCCCAGGGATCAGAAGGGTCCATTTCTTTGGGGCCCCCGGTGTTTCCGAGGGTTACACCATTTTTGTAGGCGACAAAGAAGTACAAACTTCTCCCAGGCCATCTGATTTGTTCGGTTTCCACCGAAGCCGCGCAGCGATCTCACTGTTTGGTTTCGTTTTTGTGTCATTGTGTCTGTCTCTCTATTTCCTCTCTGAGAATAACATGGGACAATCACTAACAACCCCTTTGAGCCTAACTCTAGATCATTGGCAAGACGTTCAAGATCGGGCAGACAACCTGTCCGTGGCAGTCAAAAAGAAAAAAATGGGTAACACTCTGTACCACGGAGTGGCCAATATTGGCCCACCCTCAAAGTTAAATGGCCCCCAGGAGAGTCCCTCCATCTCTCTCTCTAATTTGCAAAGTCAGAGATTGTCTTTCAGCCGGGGCCGCATGGCCATCCAGATCATGGCTTTTAACCTTTCAGGACCTCTGCGAATCCCCTCCTGCATGGGTGGGATCCACGCAGTCCGCCGGGAGGATTCCACCCGGCGGTATGGCGGATCTGTCCCGTCCCTGTTCCTCCCGGCCCCTCCACCCCAGGAAGCGAACGGGTCTTCCTGGAGTCGGGCTGCTTGGAAATGCAGCCCAAGGCGGATGATAAATTCTATCTAAGGCTGAATACTGAGACTAGGGAAGCAATGTTTTCTTCCCCCCCATAACCGGCTTGAGTGCAAATAGAGATGCCTGCTGGGGATTTAACAACTTTGACATCTCGCTTTGACTTTTCTCAAAGCCCTGTCCTCATTATTAAATTAATGTTAATTAACTTTAGAGATGGGAACCAAATTTTCAGTCACAAATTTTGACACTCTCAAGGGGACTTTTAAGGAGTTCCCACTCTGCTTTCTTGGGGAAGCCTAGCACTCGAAACAACTGCAAGCAGAGGATGGACTTTTTGGGAGCTGGCTACTAACAAGTTAGAAAAAAAAAAAATACCTAAACTAGAGGAACTGATCCTGTGGGTGAAAGATAGGATTAAGGGACTCCCAGCAGCTGCCAGAGCCATTTAGCTCTGGGGAGTTCCCTGGGTCCTTATCTACATCTTAAGGATCTGTTTACTTAACCTCTGTTTACTTAAAAAGAAAGGACACTGAATGCAGTAAAGCCAGTCACACTGAGACCCTTGATTTTACACCTATAGTTGCCCCTACGTGAAAACATCTGGTCCACTCATAGGAAAATCTATGGTGCCACTGATGGGAGTCATAATTAAATGAAAGTTCAAAACCTGGAGAGATATTTTCTTATCTGGTTGTCTAATTGTTTCTTAGGGATAATCTAGGTTAAATATGTGTCTAAAAAATAAATAATAATAATTTTTATTGTAACAATCTGGTATCTGAATGGGTTTCTAAAGCATTGCACTATCTTGCAGTTAAAAGTTGGGTTTAAACAATTGTTTAGTTTGATTTCAGATAGTTCATGCTAGAAAACTTAAATACTTGGGATAAAAAATTTTAAAAGTTTCAATTTTGAACTGGGTAGCCTGAAAAAAAAAAATTAAAAATAGATCCAAATATCTTTAATTCACGTGATTCAAACGGTTCAATTTAGATTGGGTAAACAGATAAAAGTAAAGATGTCCTCAAAATTAAGCTTATAAGTTTCTCTAGGTGTTCAAAAAGGCCCTAATAAAATGTTAACTCTGCTTAAATTTAAAAGTTTACAAGTATTGTTTCAAAATGTGAACAAAAGGAGGTTTATGTAATTATGGTGTTATTAATGTGTTCATATCTTCCAGGTATACAAGTCTGTAAGGTAAAAGCTTCAAAAGAACATTATATCAAGCTGGTGTTCTAAAGTTGTATGGTAATTTTAGGCTTAAAAAAAAATGTTGGAAATTCAATTATATCATTTGTGTTCTATAACTGAACTTGTTATCAATAAGATATGTACAGTTCCATGTTACTTTCTACTCTAAGATACAATTTATGTATTTTTAAGTTAATAAGAGCCTAATCTGTGTAAAGGTTTTATTGCAAAACACAAAAGTACATTACTACTTTTCTACAAGAGGTTAAAAGCTTTCAGCCTTTAATTCATATTTTAGGTGTGATATTATGTTGTGTTAGCTAATGTTCATGTAAACTTGAACAACAATTTATGTAAACTTTGTAAAATGATCAGCTTCAGAACTATAGTACTTGAGATTTATAAAGAGCCCTGCCTTACTTGAGATAAGGCTCTGTCCCATCTCACTACATGTGAAAATGGCTATAAAAAAAGTAAGCCAGATTTCAGTACAGTTAAAGTTGTGTCCAAAAGTAGGTTTTTGCCAAGATTACTAGGATCTCAAACAGGAAATTATGATGTATAACCCTGCCAGAATTCAAGGTAGCTATTATATAAGCTAAATATGTTTTTACCCTAGTTAGTTTTGTTTTGTAGTTTGCTTATAAATGGTTTAAGGATTGCCTATTAATATTCTAAAGAGGTATTGCTTTAAGAACACAACCTGGGTCAACATAAGATAAAGAGTTATCACCTACAGGATAGAGAGATAGACATTAAAGCCCAGTGCTCTTAATATAAGGCTGTTAACTTATTTGCTGGATGTTTAAGATCAAGTTTTTAAAATTAGTTAAATTAAAAGGGCCAAGAAAACCAATATTTGGCTCTTGCCCTCTGAGTCAGTCTGAATCAGGGAATAGGGGACTTCTCCAAAGGGCTCAGCAACTCTAGGCCACATAACCTCCTGAGCAGGGAGATTAATGAGACCAGTGGAGGACAGAAAGCCAAATGGTGCATTTGCTGTAAAGAGGAGGGTCATTAAAAAAGGGAGACATCCCTGATGCTTCTGAGGGAAGCCATATGGTCAAACAAGGCCTGGACCCATCCTAGCGCAAATGGCACTAGCAGAACTGAAAAGCTGCTATGAAGTTCCCGAGGACTCCCAGGATAACTCAGCTGACTGTAAACAATAGGTAGAAACAAAAGTCAGTTTGACTTGCTTCATCTTAAACACTTAGCAAAGACAGTCAAAGCCAAAGCACAGCTGTTCCTGGACATCTTAAATGATAATAATAATTAAATGTAACTTCCATAAATAAATAGACTGGAGGCTACAAGAGAGATTCTTAGACAGAAATGCCTGATAACTGTCAAAGGAACTACTAGAATAGTTTTAGTCTAAGGCTTTTATTTCTAGACAACACAGGTAGACTTGATGTTTGCTAATATGGTTATCCAGCCCTAAGTAGCAGAATTAAAGATTTCTCTATTAGACACAGAGGAGAAACAAAAGGTTCTTTTGGAAGCTCGCAAAAATGTGCCAGGGGACGACGGGCGCCCCACCCAACTCACAAATTTGATTAACGAAGCTTTTCCTTTAACCCGGCCAAACTGGGACTATGCGACTGAAGCAGGTGAGAACCACCTACATCTCTATCGCCAGTTACTCATAGCGGGTCTCCATGGAGCAGGGGGGTCTCCATGGAGCAGGGCGACGGCCCACCAATTTGGCTCAGGTAAGACAGACTATCCAGGGGTCAGAGGAAACTCCGACAGCCTTCTTAGAAAAATTAAGAGGCTTATCGGAGGTTTACTCCCTTTGATCCTGATAATGAGGACCAAAAAGGAAACATTTAATGGGCCTGCCTTCGTCTCCCAGGTAAGTCAGGCGGTAGCCAATACATTGAAAATTAATTAAAAATTACATTATGGTTATAGACCCCAAAGTTCAGGACAGGTAAAAAAGATAAATAGAACCATTAAGGAGACTTTAACTAAATTGACACTTGAAACTGGCACTAGAGACTGGGTACAACTCCTACCTTTAGCCTTGTATGGGGCCCAAAACACCCCAGGCCCACATGGACTAACCCCATTTAAAATCCTGTACGGTGCCCCACCTCCCGCTATTAACTTTTATAAAACTAAAACCTATGCCTCCCTCACCCCATCTATGCAGACTCATTTGCATGCTTTGCAATTGGTCCAGAACGAGGTCTGGAAGCCTCTAGCCGCAGCATACAAAGAGGAACTTAAAACCCCCTTGCTGCCACATCCCTTCAAGGTCGGAGATACCGTCTGGGTACGCAGGCACCAGAGCAGGAACCTCGAACCGCGGTGAAAAGGACCCTACACTATCCTGCTGACCACTCCTACTGCACTCAAAGTGGACGGCATCGCTGCTTAGATCCATGCTTCCCACGTGAAGACTGCACATCCACAGGAGTCCGCAGACACCTCTCCGGATCCAGAATGGAAGTTGCAACGTACCCAAAATCCGCTAAAGATAAGACTCACTCGATGTTGATTTTTCTTGCTTTGTGCTGTGTCTTCCCCATATCAGTTAACCCCAACCAATCTGTGAGCCAGACATGACAAGTATTATCGGGGACAAGAAATATAATTTAAAAAAAAACAACAAAAAACAAAAAACAATGGGGCCTGAGAGTATATCATAAAACTGCCTATGACCCTGGGGTCCTATTCAAAATTAGATTAATAGTAAATACCAACCCCCAACCAGTATGCTGAGCCGTCAGCTGAAATAATGCTGGAATCCGAGCAGATGGGTCAATGGATATAAGATTATATCCATGATATAAAAAAAGGGGGGAATGAAGGACCCCAAGGCCCCAGGCCCAACATTAGGAAAACTAACCCCTGTGCCCTGAAGCTGCAAGATGTTCCATATAGATAACCCCGGAAGGGCCAAACTTGAGCAAACAGGGTAAAAACAGGAACTAAAAGGACAGGATGCAATTTTATGGTTTTTCTGAGAACTAAAGTGGGAAAACAAGTTTACCCCCCTAGGTGACTCAACTGCTGAATTCAGAGGGACCAATAGGAAGGCTGTTGCTGTGCTAAGCTAAGACCTAACCCACCTGTTCCCTATAAAAGATCTATACCCCAAAGCCCGGTGTGCCAGTTCACCGAAGCTCCGGCTGAGGTTTTGCTGTGCACCCGCAGGCGCCTGTGTGAGAATAAACGCCTCCTGCTTTTTGCAGCCAGTGTCTCGTGTGGTTCATTCCGGGTTTGGGATCTGTGGATATTTCATTTATACTAATTTATTTTTATGTTTATTTGAATACACATATTTGTTATTATACATTTATTTATATTGTAGGGGCAAAAAGGGGGTGATCCCTTTCCTGCCCATCATAAAAAATCATGGCTGACAACTCTACAACAAAAGACAGATTGGCAAGAGAAAAACAAAATAAATTTATTGAATCATTTTTTTGTGTGTGTGTGTGTGTGTGACACAGGAGACATTTTTTTAAAAGAATCAAAGACCTTTGTGCTTAGGGTCAGTGATGCATGGGCAGCCATTTAGAAATATGATTGACAAAAAGGGTATGATATAATCATAATAGACTAAGGGGGAAGTCTTAGCAAGTTCTGCCTGTTAAGATTCTTCCTGTGTTGGGCTGGGGATGTGGCTCAAGCGGTAGCGTGCTCTCCTGGCATGTGTGCGGCCCGGGTTCAATCCTCAGCACCACATACAAACAAAGATGTTGTGTCCCCCGAAAACTAAAAAATAAATATTAAAAAAAATTCTCTCTCTTAAAAAAAAATTCTTCCTGTGTTTTCTTTTTTAAAAAATGTTTATTTTTTAGTTTAAGGTGGACACAACATCTTTATTTTATTTTTATGTGGCGCTGAGTATCGAACCCAGTGCCTCACGCATGCCAGGTGAGCGCTCTACCACTGGGCCACATCCAGAGCCTCTTCCAGTGTTTTCTGTGTAACATTTCTTTCAAGTTACTGGGCAGGATGCTTTCTGGACTGGGGGTCTTTTGACCTACAATGAATCAAGGTAGGTCAGAGAATTTCTTTATGGCCCACTCTTAAACAGAAAGGTCAGGAAAAGTTAGAGTAATAGTTTTAAGTTTTATGGCTGGCTTTGTGTATAAGGGTTGTGATTTCTATGACCCACCTTGGAGAAGAGGAATTCTAGTTTCTCTGGCTTGCTCCAGGGAAGAATAAGGGGTCTTAGGAAAAAGGGCATGAAAAAGTAAGAGAGAAATTTAGCTTTTAATTCTACTTTAATGTCTTCATAGTTGCTGGATAACTGTAGCTCATATATGAAGCTTATAAAATAGCAAATAATCCTTTGTAATAAACATCGTATCATGAAATACATCAGCAAATATCTCTTTAGCATACATTTTTATGGCTTGTTTTTCTGTAAGAGATGTAAAAATTAATCATTTATGCAATATAAATATAATTGGGTCATTTCTTCTAATAATTCTACAAAAATTTCTAAATTTGAGATTTACTTTGGGCAAAGCAATTTCAGCTCTGAGTATCGGAGGCTAACACTAATTGGTGGTGCTTTGCTTTATTTTGTAGTAATCTAGATATCTAAGTAAATGATTCCACTTTTACTTTAAAATAGCATAATCTTAGCAATAGCACATTTTGAACTATGTTGATTATCTATGGCTCTAAGACAACAAAATGTATAAAACACACACAGAAAAAGTCATTTTTTTTGCAAATAATCTTTTCCTTTAGAATTTCTATCTACCAATTGTGCTGAAGATTTTTCATAGGTTGGTAAATGCACTTGGAAATGTCACTCACAAGCTTCATTAGTATAGAAGTGTTTGGAAGTGATTGTAATTAACTCTCTGTTGGAAAGTCCTGTGAATCAATCTCTCTTTCTCCTTCATCATCATTTCTATCTATCTATCATCATGTCCAAGAATGAGAACAGGATGTAGAATCTGGAGATGGACTGTTTGGAAAGGAGAATGTGATCTAAACTTATGACATCCTGGATACTCAGGTTCCACAAACGTAGAGAAAAGCAAAAGTATAAACAGCTGTAAACTCATGGAGCCCTTCCATGTAAGAAGAAAGAAATTGAATTTCTGAAGTTGTTTCATATTCCACATTATGTCAAGATTGTCCTTCGACAATCATTTTGTATCGAGTTCTACTGAATTGCATTGTTAACTATCTTGCTAGCTTTCTTTTCCTGTATTTCTGGCTAATATTTCAAGTCTTTATTTACTTTTAGCCTTTTCTTTAAAAGAAGAAAATTAATTCTTATTCTTTGAGTGAGCTCCTAGACTCATATTGTGTAATTTTGAGTTTGCAAAGGCATGATAACAAAATGTTTGTTAGCCTTGTTTTCATCCAGATTAATCTTATGAAATCACAGTAAGTATATGCCTCTTGAAAAGTATTGGAAAATAAAAGGAATTTTAACTCATTTCCATGTCCTTTGTTTACTTAACTAGTTTGTCCTTAACTGATCCCATTTAACTTGAAAAAGAAACCACACAAATCATCCAAAACATGACAATATGCCAGTCACTAATTCTTGATAGTCAACTTGCGTCCCTATAACTGAAAATTCCTGATAGACTATATATTAAACTATGAAGATTGCTGAAACTGATAGTTTAAAATTATCAGAATTAATTGACTTCAGGTATGTCCTTCTTATTGGAATAATCATATTCTGTCATTTCTGATACAGTGGTTCTCAAACCCTCACCTCTGGAGTTTGTGATTCACAGTATAAACTGTGGGTTGGATGAGCTGCTTTTCTAATCAGCTCCCAGGTGATGCTGAGAGATGCTGATGATCTGGACCACACTTTACAAACCATTACTCCGAGCAGTGAGACCTTCTCCTCAGTAACCTCCCCACAATATGTAATCTATAGAACAATTTACCTTTTCTGCTTGAGCATGTTGATTGCTTCTTCTCTAACAGCATTGCTGAAGAGATTTATTTTTCCCCACCTGAGAATTAGAAGGTAGGCATGGGGACAGTTTGTGGCTTCAAGGCCATTCTTGAGAACACAACATTATAACAAACTCAGAAGGTATCTCTCTCATGTAGGGGAAGCTTTTAATTTTGTTTCAAATGCTTATTTTGTATATCATTATACTTCTCTATTGCTGTCAAATTAATGAATCCCATTGATAAAAATTTGATTATTAAAAAAGTAAATATGAGTCCAGGTACAACCATGAAGACCATTATAATCCATATATTATTTTGAAGGTCATGTCAAATAACTAAATGTTAAAACTTTTATTTCTGAATTTTGGGCAAAATGTTCAAGATAATTTCCACCATGGATTCTGAAGGTGCTTCTCTGTTTTATTCGACAAATTCCTCAGATGCTTTTTTTGCTAAAAACATAATGCTTTGGTCAATTTTTTGGTCATTGCTATTTCTATCATGGCAGGCTTCTGTTGCTTAGAGGACAGATGTCAAACTGGGGTGAAAATGATGAAGTGAAGGACATATATATATATATATATATATATATATTCTCAAGTGATAAATGTACTCTTTATTCACAGTTGTAGACTATAGACATTTCTTTTCATATAAAGGTGGGGAGAAAATGTACAATTTAAAGAAGATTTTGTTAACCTACTCTTTAATAGTGTGCTCTCCACATACCTTATAGATTAAAATTCACATGATCATAGGAACTCTGGAATTCCTCAGGGATAATATATCTTTTCAAGTGGAAAATCTTCAAGTAATCAGAAATTTAAAATTATTTTGAGGAGATATAAAGCATATTCCATGTTATCACAAAAACTTATCTTTCTAATAGACCCAGAGTTAGGCAAATCTCAATGGTTAGAAATTTGGATTCACCTCAGGTATATTTTTATAGGGTTTCTTGTGGCATATTATAAAAATGACTACACAGTTCCTCCATCCTGACATGCACACTGCTTTATATTGTGACCTTCTCCACTTTTCTTATCAATGGGTGAGGTCTATTTGTTTATTCTTTGATTCAAAATTTGTGGTCAATGGGAATTGTGCCACAAAAGTGTCTGAAAGGACTGTTTGAGGGAAATGAGCTTCACCTCTGGTCACATCTGAATGGACAGTTTGACTTGGTGGAGTGAATGGTTATGATACAGAGAACCACTGTAAAAATTATTACACTGTAATAATTACTACAGAGAATCACTGTAATAATTCTTCTTCTTTGTTTCCCAACCACCCTGGATAGTTCAGTTAGGCATTAGACGAATTTTTAAATTGGATAAAATAAGTAAGTGGTTTCCCGCCTTTTTTCATAGACCTCTGTTTGGATTACACGGTAGACCCTTGCAATGCAAATTCCTGTAGTTCTTTAGTCTACTTCATTTCAGCACTCATTTTCTGGACAGTTCCATTCACTTGTCTACCCCTACCACCTTGTGTTGTAGTCATCCCTTTTTTCTGCTTACTTGGAACCTGGAAAAGTCATTCAGCTGCAAAGAGATGCCACCTTGAAATTCAAAGAAAGGTCATGCACTAGGAGACACTCTCAACCAAAAGAAGATGGGCAAATTGTCCAGAATCCCTCTGGTAGGACAATTCCAAGGCTCAGAGGATTGCCTATGGGACCCAGTCAATAGTCAATATCTCCTGAGCCCACTTTTAGTGGTTTTAATACCTTTACCTTCCACTTCTTTATGGTTTCACTTTCTGTAATCATCTTTCAAATAACCCACCTGCACTTATGATTTTGCCCAAGACTCTGCTTCCAGGAGAAAGTCAAAGTAAGAGAAGTAGTATGGTCAGGGTTTCTCAGGGGAAGTATTTCAGAAACAAGTTCTTTCATTATTAGAAATATTAATGTAATGATAGACTCCAGTCAACTTGAGGATGATCTAGTAAAATTTGCATTGTTGTTTATTATTTCTGTAATCAGAAAGAGTTTACCAAGTATTCACATCATTCATTGTATTTGGAAATTCAAAATTATATAAAAAGTTTCCTGTTTCTAAAATGGACCTCATTCTTCTTCTCCTTGACCTGCAAATTAGCCTTACAGCTGTATGATGACCAAAATTAACTTATTTCTTAGATGTAGTAAGATTTTGATTAGACCATCTTACAAATAATTATCCTGTTATCATTGATTTGAATATATTATTGTATAAACCCTTTTTACATAATTAAAAAGCTTGGGGATTTCAAGGACGGGTAAAAGGCAAACATGGTAAATAAAATGAAGGTGTG